TGCATCGCAATCCGAATTAATTTTAACATGTAAGTGTATTAAAAGTGAAAATATAATAAAAAAATCACTAGGCATAAAGCACCGCACAGTGCACATAGCATGTTTTGCCCTCAATGTATATTCTGTGTTTGCCTTTGAGCTAAAATAGAATTGTCCTGAGTCCAGACCGCAGCTAACAGCTGAATGGCTCATTTCCTTCACTATTAGCATATCACGCCCTCACAGTGTACCGTCTCGCACGCCCGTAGTTGCTACTATAGACACTAGTGCTACCGCACCTGCCCTGTAGTAGCGCTTCATACCACCCCAGCACCCGAGCGCACCCGCTTAGTTCTGCACATTGTTCACAGATGTCGCCCCAGGCGCCGTCGTCACCGGCTACTCCGTCGGAGGCTCCGTTGGCAGAGGTACTCTACCCCCTCTCTCTCTGTCCCTCTGTCCGCCGCTTAGAGTATCTCTGTCGAGTAGGACCACCGCGGAGTGACAGGGCGGGTCTGTGAGACCGGAGAGGTAGATAGGCACATCTGTCTGTCTGTGTGCCTGTCTGTGGTTCTGTCTGTCTGTCTGTCTGATGTGAGCGGTCGTTATCGTATGAATAGCACTTATCTGGCCGCGTCCGTGGCTGGTAGGTGGAGAGAGCAGTTCTCGGAGGCCGTAGTACCCCCTGTGTGTCGGTGTGCAGGGCTCGTGTGGTGTGACCTGTTGTGTAGTTCGTGTATGCTAGGAGTAAAGAATGACAAGGAAGGCGAAGGAACGGAACAGCTGGGTATGTATGTTTAATGTGGTGATGGGTCGCAGTGTGATGAATGTGGCTCATGTCGGTCTGAGTTAGCTGATATGGCGCGGGGCGGGGGACGAAGGTCAACGTGCTCATCGTTCCAGTATTAGACAAATTTGAGGCTGATCATTGATTGTGCCGATAGTGTGCCGATTGTTTCTGTGACCGTGCGTTGTGTTTGCATGCTGGGGACATCCTTGCGCCATATTTTGGTGCCACTGTCGGTTACCCCAAACCTGGAATGTCGGTCATGTGTTCAGTCAGTGTCTTTTCGCCATGCTGTAATCAATTGCCGCTTAGTAAAACGTTCAGCGTTATAACTTTTAAGTGCTCTACTATGACATATGGCTTGACGTGCAATTTTGTATCTTAGCATTGCTCACAAATCGCCATATCACACTAAGGTTGCTTGCCCCTGCTTATATTTTGTTCGCTGCTTATCTGTATCTGTATCTGCATCACTCTGTTTCGCTTGCCTCACCTCTGTCTGACCCCTGTCTCACCTCTCTCCGTATCTGCCTACAGGAGCCGGACCTGGTGAACGGCACAGCCGACCGGGAGCCGGCGGCCGCCGCGCCCACCGTCTCCCCCACCGCCCAGGCGGCGCCGCCCTGGATGAAGGAGCTCCAGCGGGCGCAGATCAAACGCCACTCGCGGCCAGGTGAGTGACCCGCCCCCTCCCCCGTCACCCAAACGCGCCCACACAGCTCAGGCACCTCAGCTGGCATGTTGTAGCGGCACTCTAGTATCACAGGCAGTAGCAGCACTGTCACAGCAACGCACTTGCTAGACCGAGTTTCATGCACCACGCTTCAGCCTGTCGCTATCTTTTCATTTTTAAAAGCCTGCTGTTAAATTGCAGCTAGAAAGCCTGCACTCATTTGTCGTTTTTGTTTTAGCGATTCGACGCCATTGATTTGTGCGTGTATCGAATGTAGCGCTAGTGAATGCACCCCGATACGCCGCGCTGCGGTCTCGGCCGAAGCGGCAGCGTTTGGCTCTGCCAACCGCCGTTGCCATTCGAGCCGTTGTTGCGATGCGCCGGTCCTAGTTGAGCCTGTGCGGCTGCGGCCTAGCGAGCGTGCATGCATGTGGCGCGGCGGTCTCGGAGCGGCTTGTAGAGCCCGTCTTTTTGCGTCTGCTAGTGGAGACGGATGACGAAAAGACGGAGCGGCAGACGTCGGACGCCTCGTCGGCGGCGGCGACGACCTCACCGGAACCGGCGGCGGCCACCTCACCGTCCGCGCCCGTACCGAGCCGGCCACCCTGGATGTGCGAGCTACAGCGGGCCCACAGCAAAAAACAGTCCTCCAGAGACAAGGGTATGACAGGAACGTCACGTGAAAGGCTGTTGAAGTATTATAGCTGTTTGCGATGAACGCTTGCCTGCATGGCTGTTGGCACACTCAGTTGTTGCATTATACACAGTATGGTGATTGGACCAATGGGCCACTGGCCTCTCGCACGTTATGTTTTCTTCTGTTGACTCAAGCGTCTCGTGTCTCCTCACGCACACTCTCCGATCACATTGTCTTCCCAAGACTGTAGCTGGTCGTTTTTATTAATGCCTCCCTTTCTCGGCCCTATCTGACCCGCCCCTTTGGTCGTTCCACAGATGACGAGAAGGCCAGTGGCGACACCGCGCCATCCTCGGACCAGTCTGACTCGGCGCCAGCACCGCCACCGGTGGCCCAGGCGCGGCCCGCGCGGCCAGAGCTGCCCTCAGAAGGTAAACATGTCTTGGAGAAGGGAACCCATTCGTCCTAGGGTGCCGCCAATTGGACGACGCCTGAATCGTAGATATTAGCTCTTTTTGCGACGGATTATTGGACGCTTATTTGATCCGTTTGACCCGTCTAAAATCTGAGCGATATGGTAGTTGTTTACTTATTAGAACGGTTTCCACCTTTTGAATGAAATGCCGATTGTTATGTTTCTTTCCTTTCAAATTCAATCAAATACGTGCCCAATGCTCATTGCTCAGTCGTGAAAAGGGCTAGTAGTTCTACCGTCTGTTTTTAACTCAATGCCTGCATCTGACGGCATATCACTTTCCACCGCTCCTTCGCCGCTGCTGAATTTCACTCCTCCTTCTGACTGCCGCCTCCTGACCAGCCTCTGACCGTCTCACCCGCCTGCCGCCCGCAGTGAAGGCCAGGAGGCCGGTCTCGGCTCGGATCGCCCCGAAGCCCGCCGACCCCCCGGCAGTCGCTCCAGCGGCGGCCGTCGCGCCGCCCCGGCCGGCCGCACCGCCGGCAGCTGCCGCGCCGGCTCCCGCGCCGGCAGCTGCCAGCGACACCCGGCAGCTGCAGGAGCAGGTCGCGCAGCTGCAGAAACAGCTGGCCGATCAGGTGAGCGGAAACGCCGACCGATGGAGGAGGGGTTTCTGGGACCGAGGTGGAGCCCAGTGCGGCGGGGGGGGGGGGGTGCTCTCGGGTTCTCGTTATGAGGCCGCTAACGTCCACCAGCTGAAGGCGGGACACTGGAGCCGCTGGCATAGTTACCAGCGTAGGATTTGACGCCGCCATGAGAGTGGTTGCCATCAGTGCAGCAGCCTGGCCTGCCCAGTGGCGCGCTGCCTGGTGTGCCGTGAGGGTCCCGCCACACATATGCTGCTCGGGTGCCCACTGCCCATGCCTGGCGGGCACGAGGCTCCGCATTTTCGGCAACATCCGACTGGACTCAACGCAGCTTGGAGACAGCGGGGCATTGACGGCCTTGAGCTGGCAGCGGCTACCTGAGGCACAAGAGCCCCTGGGGTGCGGTCGGCGTTAGGTCGACCTGAGGACAGGAATAGCAACATGTTGTGCTTAGACCACCTGATCTGCATGTGAGTTGCCTGTATTGTGGCCTGACCTGACCTGTGACCCGTTCGTTCTGTCTGTGTCCACAGAGCCGTCAGTTCACGGAATCCCTAACAGCTCTGAAGGCCGACTACACCAAGCGGATGCGCACTGTGCTCGATGAACTGGACTCTGAGAAGAAGGCGCGCCTGGTAATGCAGGTGCAGCTCGACAGGCTAGACAAACTCGTCAAGGACATGAACTTCAGCAGTGTGTAGCACCGCGCGCCGACCGCTTCCCTATGTCAAATGGACGAGGCGTGGCGGTGAAGAGACAGTGCCGTCAAATTCCGAGAGTGTGCGCTAATGAATGACGAATGCGTACCGAACAGTGTGAACTCCATAGCGTTTATTATATCGACATGCATACATACGTAGTTCGCGTAGAATCAGCCGAACGAGAGAATGCTTTACGAGACCTGATTACACGCGGTTGTGGACGCGTCGGAACGTGGGCGGCCGCAGTGACCTCCGCAGAGGCTACACGGTCGGCACTCCGTGCTATGCAGAGGCTACGGAACAATAAGAAGAAATCATCCTGGCTGGTGATTTACGGAAAGCTGCATAAAATCCGCCGTGACTGCCTTGTGATCGTTTGGTTCCCCGGGTTTTATGGGAGGCTCGACAGAGGCTTTCCCGCGGAGGCTGTCCTGCCATTCCGACTCTGTCTCGGCCAAGTGCCCATGCTTTTAATGATAGCCCGCCGTGCAAAGTCTGCTGTTGTGATATGAAGGCGAGAGACGCATGTGTTGATTCCGATGCTCGCCGCGCATCCGGTGATCTTGTTTATCTGTTCCTGCTCCATTCCTGACGAGTCTCTAGAGAGTCGTGAAAATCGGCCGGCTGGGACGGACCGGTCCTCCGGTGCTGGGAGGGATAATGTGTTCCCCTTTACGTCCTCCCCCTCCCCTCCCCACGGGGCCCGGGGCCGGACAAAGCTGACCGAGTCATTCCCGTGGCTTTGAGTTAGCCTGCTGGAGACACCAGTGGGATGCGTGCTAAATCATGACGCTGTATTTTCTGAGTAGACAATTACATTTTGTATGAAATTTAGACGGCGTTTCGTGGTAACGTGTGCGGTGGAAGGAGGTGTAGAAAGACTCAAAGAGCCTTCCGTGACAGGTGGCTGGATTATTGACTTGTTTTGAGATATTAGAAATATTTTTTCTTACGACGAATAGCTGTATAATTTACAATTGTGTAGACATTTGCTTTTTATAAAATGCATTAAGATATGTAAAGTTGCGTGGTTTTCGGCGATGCCACGCGTCGCCAAGCATAGCCAACGGTAGTGGATCGACCACCCACGACCTACCCCTGACCCGGGGCTCGACCTTCCAGAGAAGAATGACTCAAAGAGTGGCAGGAGAAACCAGCGAAAGGAACGTGCGACATTTATTTACAGACAAATCATGAAAATGCGCAGCTTCTACTTATTGTATGACTGATAAAGGATGAACGCGAGAAGTTACATGCGTGGCTGTGGGCTCTGGTTCACAGAATGGGTATTTGGTAATGGAAGTGCCTCATAGCATGGCAATGTATTATCGTTTCCATGATCTGCGTTGCGCTTAACATTCACAATGGTGCACGGGTTCAAAGCTTTGACAGTGTTTGATCATTCGTTGAGCATTAGTGTGAGCATTGAATAAGAACGTTCTCTTCAGTTTCAGCTCGATGACAACAGATAAAAGCAAAATTGCTCGCCCTTGTCTGTCATTCGTCCACACCCCTTTTCACAACTGAATCCTTCCGTAACGCTTACATTGGGAGGTTGGGCCGTGGGCGACCATTCTTGAAAAGTGACTTGTGAGCATAGTGCAGCCGGAGCGATCGTTTTCCCGCAAATATTTCTTTGGAGTAGCAGTAAAAATGTGATTTCCCCCAACTCTGCTCGACGGCACAATAATGTTTGCTCTCCCGACACGAGCCTGGTAGTCAGCTCTTCTGTTGGGCTATTGGCCACTTCTTACCGACATGTGCACCAAACGCTTTTACACACTACCTCACAATAGCCACCTCACCTCTCACTATTCTATTCATCTCCCACAGCCAAGACCGCACTGCGGCGTCAAACCCACCGCCTGCAGTCAGTCCAGTAACCGACACTGGCCCTTCGTCCTCCCGCACCCCGCACTTTCCCTCACGAGCTCAGAGACACACGACCTCAGAGTTTCCTCGGCCGAGAGCTGAGGTCGTGGTCGGCGCTGACGGGTGTGTCGGTCAGCGTGGGTACGAAGCCGTGCTCGGAGGTGTAGCCCACTTCCCGCAGCACGCCATCGGGTCCGACCACGCCGTACTGACCGGCTACGGTGCCGTTCTCGTATCCCCGCTCCTCGTGGTAGTTGTGCCGTAGGTGGACGTAGAAATGGTACGGCCCGCTGCCGGCCGGTCGGATGGGCACGATCGGGGCGAGGCGGCGGGCTGGGGAGCGGCTTCTGCTGGGGCTGCCACCTATCGGTCGACTGGGAGAAGCAGAGGTTCGTGGAGGCGCCGCTGTGGTCGTTGGCGGCGCTGTGGTGGTGGTGGTGGTGGTAGTGCTGGCAGCCGTGGGCCTTTCTGTGGTGGTGGGCGGTTTGGTGGAGGCCGGTGAGGATGTCGTCTCCTTCCGTCGCTCCTGCACCAGTCGGGGCGGCGTTCCGCGGACCTCTGCCGATCTCTGCTTTCCCGGAGCTCGTAGGTTCTGCGGAGCCGGCGCCGGTTCCGAACGCACCAGGGCGGAGGCCTGGGGCTGCTCACCTCGCTCGAACAGCTTGGCCTCCTTAGGCGGGTTGAACGCCTGGAAGTCTCTGAGGAACTTGGCCTCGTCTAACGGCTCGACAGTGATGCTCGGTTTGAAGCCTGAACAGTCGGCGGTGTAGGTGGTGGTCCGAAGAGTACCATCCGGCAGCTGCACCGCGTAGGCCCCTATCTTGGTTCCATTGGCGAAACCGCGCTCCCAGTGGTAATGCGTACCCGCGTTGTAGGCGAACCCGTACGGCCGGCTGGGGGCTGCTGGCTGGCCGTCGGGACCCGTACGGCTCCCGCAGGATGCCGTCGCCCCCGAGGGAGAGCCGGGCGCTGACGGTCCCCTCCTTCCCGCTGTCCTCTGCGGCTCGGAGCGGGCTGCCGAGGGAGTCTCGGTCTCCTGTGGCTGCCCGGCGGGAGCTGGGTCCGGGCTCTTACCAGGGGCCACGGCGGACGGTCCGTCCGGAGACGAGGGGTCGGCGGCAGCGGATGGGTCGGAGCTGACCGCCTCCCGCTTCTGCTGTTCACAGCCTGGGGTACGCATACGGCGCAGCGTCGGGTGGTAGCCGCTCTCGTCGGCCCAGTATCTGAGAAAGTGGACATCATATAGTCAACCTTCAATAAGCAGCCGTTTATTGTAAATGCAAATGGAATGAAATCAAACAAGGCGTAGGTAGTACCTATCAACGAAAAGCCCCTGAGCGTGGAACATCTGACAAAGCCTCAGGTTTGTGACCTGTTGCCCTCTGGCTCCTCAGAGTTATCGGTCACGAGTTCTCTCAATTTACGACTCACCTGACCACGGATCGCAGCAGTTGGGCAGGTCGACGTAGTACTCCCCGAACTTGGCGCCGCTCTCCGTGCCGTCTCGTTGTGGCCGTGGTACGAGCAGCGTAACCGAAGTTATAGAGGGCGCGCTGGTCGGTCAGTTAGGTGGCGCCAGCGTTGGCTTCTGGTCGGAGCCCGCCAGCCCAAAGTGACGGGGCGCTGCTCACTGGCAGGCGAACAGATCCTCACCTCGCACTGCGGACATTGGGGAATCAACTTCACTACAGGGCTGAGGAATGTGTCAGGGACAATGGACTGTGAGCTGAGGAGCTAGGAAACTGGTCCGGGCACAGCAGACACAGGCAGCATTGCAGAGTTAGAGAACGAGCAGTGGATGTTGGGACTAAGGGAAGCGCAGAGTGGAGGACGGCTCGGCCTCAAAGGACAGTGAAACTGTAGGCATTGCAGATTCAAGAGAAGGGCCCGGATCGGAGGAAGGGGATGCAAGGCAGAGTCAGAGAGTAGAAGGAAAGCGAATGACCGTCTGGGGAGCACTGCATGATTAGCATGAGGTCAGGTCATGAGGTCAGAAACATTTTGTGAATATTAGGAAGCTTGGTCTTTGGATGCGCTTTTTTGTTCAATACCTAATAACGTCATCGCAGTAACTATGGCTGCGCACTTACCTTTCCAAAGCTGTGGCACGGCAATAATTTGAATTTTGGTTGGACGTCATTATCAAGCTCTTCGCGGGGCTGCGGTCTCCTGAACTTTCTTGGCGGCGAATCTTGCCTTCTCCTGCTAATAAAAAAACGAATGTCAATACCAAGCATTGCAGTTTGAACTTTGATTTTCGAATTGCCTACCTATTTTTATCTCAGTCGCTTCCAAAAGAAGCTGCACGTTGCTTACATTACCCAAAGTAACGACATTCACATACCTTAGACGAAATAACCTTCAGTCTTCCCACCTCCAGCACTGAATGCAAATCTATTTTTTTTGCTCAGCGATTTGTACATAAGTTAAGTACCCACCCACTGACCTCGTAGCCGTTTGGTGGGTGTTCGGTACTCGTGTACCAGCCGCAGTTTGTTTGCAGAGGTCTCGTACACCATTACCCGTGTCCAGCCGTCCGGCATGTGTACTCCGTACTCGCCGTACACACTCCCATCACGGTCTGAAACGGCCAGCAAACGCCGTCAGTCATGCAATTAGGCTACATACGTGATAGTGAAACGGACTTTCCGATATATTTTGCAGCCTCATGGCTTCGGCTTGCCGGGAGCTAAAAAGGCGTGTCAGTTGGGTAGCACGAAAAGACGTAACGTGCATACATTCTTAGGTAAGGCGCTGAGGAAATGCTCTGGTTGTTACACGAACTCCATATATAGATTATGCATGCCTATTGCATATATGATTAGATTGGGCTGCGCATTGTCGAAAGATTGGCTCGCGTTTGCGGGTGCCAGTAACCGTAGCGGAAATGCCGCAGCTGGTCAACGCGCAGCGCGGTGCATTGTTTACGGTCACTGTCCGTCCAGCGTACGGTCCGTGCGCGTCCGTCATCATGTCACCGTCTCTGTTACGGGCCATCCGTCTCCACCGGGCAGCTGTGAACAACAAACACCTTATCTGATCTCCCCGCACTGCCGAATTCGACGCGGCGGGCGACGAGACGGGACCGTGCAGCGTCAAATGGAATGTATGACATTGTTCTCCTCACCTATGTACTATTATTCGCAGAATCGACTTGCTGTTTACGCAGGATAGCTAGCATAATGAATTATTGCCAGTAGGTATGGGTGGTGTAAATTTACTCTTATGCGTGCATAATGCAGGCAAGTAGATATCTTGCAATGCACACAAGTAGATATATCGTATCGATATTTCGATAGCGAACTACCGACAAACCTACTTCTCTATTCATTTATCTTTTTATTTTTGCTTCACTCGACAGCCTAAAGGAAGCGGGTATCATGCTTTATTGTCGTAATGTTTTTGGTATTTTACTATGTTTCAGTTTTATTATTACGGAGCGAGCGAAGCGAGCGGAGTCTCATACTGAATTAAAGGGACCCTCCCACCTTCAAAAAAGTTAATGAATTGGCATGAAAGTGATGTCGCTCGGTTCAGAAAGACCAAAAACGAATATCTACCAAATTTTATCGAAAAATATTCACCGGTTTTCAAGATATTAGACTTTTACTTTTGTTTACTTTTTGGGATCTCCGCTGTTCCTAGCGACTTTATTTGAAAGTGCGGCATTTGTTGCGCGCAAAGCAGCATATACCACCGCGTGCTACAAAACGTTTTAGTCAAACATTTAACGGACGTTCGAAAGCCTGATGACGTCATCAGATTCCCATAATGGTTAAGAGATAGGGACCAAGCTGGTCCCACCCTGCAAGTAAAGGGAAGAAATTTCTTGAACACCATAAAGCTGCGGGGGTTGCGACCAGGATAAATGGTGGTTTCTGAGCCTGGCCGCAAACTTGGCTATCTCAACTCAAAACTAATGTTAAGGGGGAGGGTCCCTTTAAGGGAAAATCCTGAGTATGAGCGGCCGGCCGGCCGGCCGGCCGGCCGTGGGGACGCTCTTTAAAAGCTAATATATCTTAGGAACGGGACATCCGATTGACAAGCGGTCTTCTTTACTGAATGTCACTTGGACGTAAAAGTTCTGTGGTGTGATGGCCACCATGCGTTCTTGCCAACCACCGCACGTGGCGCGTGGTAAAGTTGGACATTTCTTAAGAACCCCCAAAATTGCAACCTCAATAACGGCACAACGGTTGGGCCGATTGAATTGAAACTCGGTACACAGTTAGGTCTCCATCAGATAATTCATCTGCATGTGTTAAGGTTGGGGTGCTACAGCACGTGCGCACGTGCAGGGGGCGCTCCCAGATCTCGAGAACGGCTGGGCCGATTGCGCTCAAATTTGGTACACGGTTGGGGACCAGTTAGTATAGGGTGCCGTGCAAAAGTCAGTTTGGACCCCGCTTGCACGTGCGCACGTGCAGTGTGCCGCTTCCAGATCTCGAGAACGGCTAGGCCGATTGCGCTGAAATTTGGCACATCGCTAAAGACCGGTTAGTAGGGTGCAGTGCACAAGTTAGTTGGAGGTACCCCCTCGCAATTTCGCACGTGCAAGGCCCATCCTCTCGCTCGCTCCGTTAGTCGCCCAAAAGGCGTTTTACTGGTTTTATTCACCCATTTGAGACATGGGCCAACATAAAGTCTCAAATATTAGTGAAAGGAACCCGATGCACTCCCAGCGAATTATTACGGAGCGAGCGAAGCGAGCGGAGTCTCATACTGAATTAAGGGAAAATCCTGAGTATGAGCGGCCGGCCGGCCGGCCGGCCGTGGGGACGCTCTTCAAAAGCTAATATCTTAGGAACGGGACATCCGATTGACCAGCGGTCTTCTTTACTGAATGTCACTTGGACGTAAAAGTTCTGTGGTGTGATGGCCACCATGCGTTCTTGCCAACCACCGCACGTGGCGCGTGGTAAAGTTGGACATTTTTTAAGAACCCCCAAAATTGCAACCTCAATAACGGCACAACGGTTGGGCCGATTGAATTGAAACTCGGTACACAGTTAGGTCTCCATCAGATAATTCATCTGCATGTGTTAAGGTTAGGGTGCTACAGCACGTGCGCACGTGCAGGGGGCGCTCCCAGATCTCGAGAACGGCTGGGCCGATAGCGCTCAAAGTTGGTACACGGTTGGGGACCAGTTAGTAGGGTGCCGTGCAAAAGTCAGTTTGGACCCCGCTTGCACGTGCGCACGTGCAGTGTGCCGCTTCCAGATCTCGAGAACGGCTAGGCCGATTGTGCTGAAATTTGGCACATCGCTAAAGACCGGTTAGTAGGGTGCAGTGCACAAGTTAGTTGGAGGTACCCCCTCGCAATTTCGCACGTGCAAGGCCCATCCTCTCGCTCGCTCTGTTGGTCGCCCAAAAGGCGTTTTACTGGTTCTTTATGAAACAAAACCTGTCCAGTCCGGTTGGAAACGCATGAGCATCATGTTGCCTATTTAAATAGCACATCCGATCACTTAGGGTCTCCATATCTCTGATCGATCATCTGAACATATTGCATTGGCATCTCGAGAGTGGTTCCAGTCTGCAGGCTTTTACATTGTCGGTTCAGAGGACAGAGCCTCAGTCACGAGTGACTCACAAGCATTACAAACGACCCGTGACCGGTTAGTTGCGCGGCGCTCGACACCAAATGCCACTCAGTCTCAGGCTCCTGGGCGGTGCCATGGCCGTGTCATAGAACCGTGTCAAGGTGTCACACCGTGTCAGAGCTACAGATGCCGGCGTGTCGGCTGTGCGTGATGCAGTCCGGCTGATGGAGTTACTTCGCTATCGGCTTTCGTGTCTCAATATGTGTAATGAGACAGTGTAATAATTCGTAGTAGGCACGTAACGCGAAGTGCTTGCTACTTGGCCCGCCAAGTGTTTGAGTTTACGCATAACCTTCAGCTAGGAACGAGCGTATCTGTACATCCCAAACACGTCATTCTATCCATCTATCCTTCGTTTCCTTGAGCGACGGAACACGCATACCATTACTGCTTGCGCGCCGTGAAGCGTGGATCCCTGACGCCTAACGACCACTCACTGCACCCCGGGTCTACCGGAAGCCGTTTGGATGCTGACACGTTCCCGGCGCCTGTGTGAGATATCACCGCGCAGGCATGGAGTCTGATGAGCCACCCGTCCCTGAGAGGCGCGGCGATGAGTGGATTATGCAGCTCACAGAACACAGCGCTGAGTGGAGATGGGAGGGAAGGTCGCGGCCTGGTCATCGGTCACGGCAGATGAGTAACACGAGGTCGATGGGCAGGACTGAAGAACGGCTCACCAGGTCTTCAAGCTATACGTGTATTTGGATATTTAGCACCGAAACAATCGCATATGAAGCGAAAGTACAAGCGAAAGCATAAATATCCAACCTCTATAACCGGATACAGCCAGATCATTCTTATTTCTTATCATTGCTCAGTGCTTCTTTGTCCGA